CGATCAGATATTTTTATTGATGAGCCCACAACTAGCTTATCTGTTCCAGTGCGGGTTTCTGGCCACCCATTCTGTCAACATGAAGTGCTTTAACAATACGCTCTTATTTTGTACCCCAAAATTCATTGGTCAAAATATCATCATTGAACCATGTAAGGAGGAAGAAAAACAGAGCATAGGATAAAGCTTCAAATAGTAGGAATTTTAAAGAGCTGGAGCTCTGGTTTCTTGAAGAGTGATGAGACATCAAAACAACAGTTCTGATTATATCCAGGAAAGTGTCATTTAGACCAGTGCTTCTCCATGTGTGGCCTGAGGGCTGGGAGCATCAGCATCATTGGGCTGCTTGTTAGAATGCAAATTCTCAAGGCCCAACACTGATCTGTGGAATGAGGTTCATTGAGGGTGGGCCCAGTAGTTATTTTAACAAGGTCTCCATGATTCTTTTGTCCACTAAAGTTTGCAAAGCATAGATTTAAACTGTCAAATTGCAAAAAATTAATTCAATAGCAGTGGCCAGCATTTCACAAAAGTGAAATGGAATGGAAGAGGGAGAGCATCCAATGAAGCATGGGCATGAGCTCATAAAGCCTGTTCCAGCTCTGTATGTGTGTGTACACCTGTCTGTACTGATTTGGGAGAAGCAGCACTTTTAATTTTTGAAGAACTGGTATGGTATCATAAAGGAGCTACAAATTTTGAATGAAGTCAGAACTGTTTGGTCGACAGTAAAACATATTGACAGCTTAATGTGGATTCCTGTTTAGAGAGAGAGTGGGGAGTGAAGGGAAAGAGCCAAGGAAAGAACCTTGCAGGCTAAAGTTTTATAACTCCAGAATCGTCCTGGGGGCAAAAACCAAAAGGCCCACCCAAAGAGAAAATGGAAAGGACATCTGCCACAGGAGAGATGTCAAGGAGGATAAGGTCAAGAAACAATTATTTAAGTAGAAATATTCACTAACTCACAGATCATTTGTTACACTGTCACAGGTGCCAGGCACTGTGGTGGACGCTGGGAATACAGACGTGAGGCCTATCATGGACCAGATTGTTTAGTGAAAGCAAGATCAATGATAATAATATAATAACATGACCAATGCTGTAAAGGAAGTATTAATACAGCACTGAGTGGGAATACTGAAGCCAGTCTGTGACAGTGGGTTGGGAGTGGGGTGACAGGGGACATCCACATGAAGAGGGCATTTAATCAAAATGATGACCACATCTTAACATGGTATTCTATGTTGAAACTAATCAGTGACTGCATAGATCAGTGGTTCTCAAACATTAGCATGCATCAGAATCTCCTAGAGGGCTTGTTCAAGCACTGTTGATTCAGTAGGTGTGAGGTGGGAAAATCTGCCTTTCTGACAAGTTCCTTGGCAGTGCAGATCCTGATGATTTGGGGACCATACTTTGAGGATCACTATCTAAATGTCCGAATTAAGAGTTGTGCTAGATGGTGTTTCTAGAAATATTATTTAAAACAAATAAAACTTAGCTGATCCACTCTTTTATACACACACACACACACACACACACACACTTGTTTGTTTGTTTGACTACATTTTGATGGCTTAGTAACTCTCACTAGAATATTTTCATATAACAATTTTTATTATAAATGTTTTACTTAGATTTAATATTTAGCTTAGGTATTTGACAGTCAGACATTTCTTGTGTGTGGCAAAAGCATGCTTGCTATGTGCTTGCCAAAATCATTTCCTTTTCTTCCTGGGAGCACACACAAAGCCACATTTCCTGACCCCTTTGCAGTTAGGTTAGACCATGTGAGTGATTTCTGCTGACATGGAGAGTGGGCAGGAGGGAAGCAAACCCTCCCAGGCATGGGTAAATCTTTCAATATCTGCCTTTTTTCTTTGGCTAGCCAGGTGTGCAGGATCTAGTGAAGGACTCTGAGAGGTCCAGGGGCCTGCTTAGCCACCAGTTAAGAGCCTGGGTCCTGAGTCACCACATGGAGAAGAGACATCCAGGATTGCCTCTCAAGTGGGGAACCATTTAGAGATGAGAGGGTGTACCAAAGGATCTTGCAATGTGTTTTTGTGGCATCACGGCCCTGAGGTTTAGGGGTTTGTTTCCTCTGTGTAGCTTAGCATGCCCTAATATGCTGTGCTTGGCACTGAGAAACACATGACATATTTATGAGCTGAACGAATGATCATTACAAATCCAATTTTTATCCCTTATCTCCCACATTCAGCCTGTAAATGGTCTTCTCATCACTCATTTACTCAACAAATACCTATAAGCACTGCAGTGTGCTGCAGTGGTGATAAAAAAAATCACACACTTTCCATGTCTATGTGGAATTTACAGTCTTGTTAAGAATGGACACAAATCAAACAAATGTAACATTCCAACTATTGTGTGTAGTGTGAATGCAGGAAATCTAGCACTATAAGGGTTTGTTTTTTCCTAGTTTGGAATAAATGGAGAGCACTTTTAAGGTGTAATTACCATCTGGGTAAAAATGACTTAAAAAAAACAACCAAGTTTGGATGTGATGAATATAACTGAGAGTCATGGGATTTTATTGTTGAAACTGTCCATTTAATAGTTTTAACTGCTGAATGTGGGTTTCTGGCCACCCATTTTGTCAACATGGATTTTCTCTATATTATACTTAAACTTTTAAAATGTGTGTGTGTATACACCTATGTATATATTGTCCACTGGTATATCTGATATATATTTATACACATATAATGTATATACAGGGATGGGCAAAAGTAGGTTTACAGTGTGACTAGTTTATTCTTGTATTATTTATTATTGTATTATTTTCCATACGAACAACTGTAAACCTACTTTTGCACACCCCTGTATATCTATACATATATTTTTCACTTCTGTTTAAAAACTTGATTCTCATACTTTAAAGAGTGATGAATATCATTACATAAATGACATTACACATATGGGGAAAAAAGACAAAGTATTTATTTCTGTAGTTTGTAAAAAAAATACCAATTGCTATTATTTTTACTTAGAGAACGCTTCAGGCATTTTCAAAATGGGAGAGTCAGAGCAGGCTGGCTAGTGGGCATACAGACCACTCTCTCTGCTACCAAGATACTAGGTCACAGGAATGGGCTAGTAATTTTAATAAATTCCGTTTTAGAGAAATTATCGGATTTTAAAGCTGCAGGTGCCCCAGGGATTTAAATACAAACGTCCCGGGAAGGAAACTAAAGTAAAAAAAAGGTTAACTACTGTAATTTAGTTTTGGTCCCAGACCTAGTCCCAGGTCTTCTAAATCGGGCGCAGCTTTCTCTGCACCACAGCTTTTGCCTGCAACTGAAGGTCAGGCTGGATTCTCCGTCGTTCTTCCAACTCTGCTCTACCTCCAGGGTTGGAGAGTTTGATCGGATAGGGCTAATTCAGATTAAGTTGGCTTCTGCTGCCTTTGTTCTTTTGTTTTCACTGTTCTTAGTTTTTATCCTCAGCATTGCTGAGCTTCTGTTTCAAATAAAAGGCACACTCATTTAATAACACCAACAAGGAATTTAACACCCACCCAAACTGATTGGCACAGGATACAGGATACAGCCATTTCCAGCCGGGAAAAGGTGAAGGGGACACACTGCGTCGGAGAGCCACGTGCGGGAGGAGGCGCCGCCTTCTGGTTGGTGCCCCGAGGGGCTAAATCCCTCCAATCCGCGTGGGCCTCGCGGTGGAGGAGGGGGCGCGCCCCTGGGGGGCGGGGCCAGCTACTTGTCCATCTCCGAGTCCTCGAAAAGCAGCACCTACCACACCGCCGTA